GGAAGCTTAGGTATTTAAAATATGTTCAGGTATTGGGGCTTTGCTTTACAGTATTTCAGACACAAAGCTATATATTTTAGCACAAAAACATTGTGTCCTTGTTCTTTATCCTAAATAGACTAGTTATTTCCAATTGACTGGGAAGATTGAATGAAGACAGGCGTCAATCCTGAGAATTTTGTGATTTGTTTGTACTCTGTCTTTTTACCGGCTCGAACTTTGTGAATTGTGTTGACTTTCTAAATGCTACATAGGTAACACATGACTTTTGCTGTGTTTTAGCACTGCTTTGGTTTTATATTGAAATTAGAGATTAAATCTGATTGAAAGCCTAACAGTACTCTCCAACTTTAATTAGACATCCACTAGGATCATTTGTTTCTTATGAAAAACAGAATTGTAATAATCAAGTGCCTCTAGGCCAATGTTGAATTAACATTTGAACACCTATAAGAGTGTTTGTGGCCTGTGCAAATAACACAGTTATAATAATTACCACTGCAATTAATTTCTCATGATGGGAAACTTAAAGTGCTACTGATAGCAAACTCCACATTTAATTTAATCAAGATGTGTAATGAGATTGGCTTTCACAACTGAGCTGTGTTCCAATTCCAAATGATTTAAATGTTTTCCCTTTTCAATTTCACTAAAGTAAATTACTAAAGAGATGGAGATGGTTATGTCACATGCTCAAACAATTTTATATTCAGTAAATACTCATTAAACAACGTTCAACATCTTTCTGCACTTTCATGCTAACACAAAAGGGAAGCAGGCTTTAATCAGACAGTATTTAAATCAAACATCGACAGCAGCCAGGTTGTTAAACTGAGCAGCTGAAACTCCTGGGTAATTTCTAGCCTGTATCCCTGAATGAGCTTGGAGACCACTGCAGTTTAACGTAATACAATAATAAAACATTTTAATTAGTATTAAGACTTTAATTAGGCCTGTAATGATGCATGCCTGTTCCTCGATGAGTGCCTTACAGTAATTGAAACAAGCACAGGTAAGGCAAAGCATGTCTGGGCTGTATTGTCTTGTTTTAAAGGTGGTTTTATCTTTCCTTAAAGGTGCAGTAACTTTCCTCTGATTGAAATGAGGTTCCAAGATCCAGTGGTACTCTCTCATTTCAGGATTTACGTGTAGCTAACAGCTGAGACTAAGAAGTCCTTACTGTAACAGTAATTATTTTTAAATAGACTTTCTTAAAAAATACAGTCTCTAATGTTGCTAAAGGAGAAATTTAACCTTTCCTTAGAAACTACCAAGGGCAAATTTTTTTGTTTCTTTTTAAAAAAAAAAAAAAATTAGACCCCAAACTACCGTTGGTCTTGGGAAAGCATAAAAACCAGTTGCTGTTATGATCCAGAGCCACCACAGTAACATGGTTTCTTCTTGCAACACAAACATTTCCCCAAGTAGCACACCAGAAATTTGAAGTTTTAGATACAAAGTATTTTGGAGATTGCTTAATTCTTGCAGTTCACAGTCTCTAAAGCCCAGGTAGCTTGGGACACTTTAAACACTTCCAAGAGTTTCTGTCTCAGAAAGATTGAGCACTAAAGGGAAGGGCAGAGTTCACTGACCACGTACAGCATTCGGAAGACCAGTCTCCTTGAAACAGTAAAATACAAAACAGCAAAGAACAAAACCACTTACCAGCTCAGAGGAGAGCACCACAGGCATCAACACAGCACTCGGAGAGAGGGGACAGCTGTGACCCATACCTCATTTAAAGGTTTTGCCTCCAGAGCAAAGCATGCTGGGGGGCTGGAGCAGCCGTCGGGCCGGCTGGGGAGGGGGCTGCCTTTCCTCATCCCGGGGGGATTGTGAGGGTCGGTGACTTCCAGGAGGTAGGTGGTGGTTTAGTTGTTGCGTAATTAATTTCTCTGCTTCCTGTGGTCTAGATTCGCTGCATTAAAAATGTGCAATTTTTTAAAAAATAACTTTGCTCATTCCTGAGCTACATCATCCCGATGCACCCGATGCCAAGCGCTCGCTGTGGCATCGCCGTTCCGTTGTGTCAAGTACGACCCACCCAGGAACAGCCCTCGCGGCCGTGCCTTCACCAAAATCGGAACAAATTACTGGCAGTGGGAATGGCACCGTCACGGCTTCTCGTCGGTGTTGCCTGTTGTCCACAAGGACGTCCAAGCTGCGCGTTATCAGTGGAATTGTGGTATGAATTAGTTTTTTTAGATCGCAGAGACAAAACGTTATCAAGTAGCCGGAATGGTTTTAGGGGAGAAAAGCCTTTGGGATCCAGAAGTATATTTTCATTTCTTGTTTCAGTGTTCTGCTGGTGAGATCTAACACAGTTATTTTATAATTTGTTGTCAAGAGATGCAGTGGCTATTGTGTACTAAATAAACTGTGTAATTTGAAAATCACTGTTTGGGTTGGTTTTATGTTGGGATGGGTTGAGAAAAGTGCATTTAGGGAGGGAGAAAAGCCTTTGGGATCCAGAAGTATATTTTCATTTCTTGTTTCAGTGTTCTGCTGGTGAGATCTAACACAGTTATTTTATAATTTGTTGTCAAGAGATGCAGTGGCTATTGTGTACTAAATAAACTGTGTAATTTGAAAATCACTGTTTGGGTTGGTTTTATGTTGGGATGGGTTGAGAAAAGTGCATTTAGGGATTTGCATCGGCTTTGTTTCAGTCTGTATGGAGGAAAGCAAATTAGGAAGTTCTGACTTTTCTCAAGCTTGTTACTTTGCATATATCACTGATTTTTTTGAATCATCTTTGTGTTTTAACAGTTTGCTGGATTTCCTTTCTCTATTACAAGTTAAAGGTGTATCAGCCATGATTTCTACCAGTCATCACCCCATACACTCCGACTTTAGCAAGGTCAGTAGGCTGAGGCAGTCACTCCATTTAAGTAAATACAGTTTGCTGTGACCAATAGGGATCTGCTCATTTCCACATTGTAGCTCAAGCTGTAGTATTCTTACTTGATGAAAAGAAACATGCGGGGTTTTTTGGGAGAGAAAAATTGCGTGTATCGAGTGCTTTATTTGAATTAGGATGTCCTGATATAGGTGGGCTTTTAAGAGTGCAGGCGACATTGCAGCAGGGAGAAGCAGGATGTGAGGAGCTGCACGTGGGACTGTCCAGCAGGTCTGTTTCTCATTTGTGGTGCCTGAGTGCAGTCACATCTTCGCACGTGTAGGGCTCCTCTTAAAGTGAGTTTGTTGGGAGTTTTGTCACCAATTAGTTAATTAGCTACAAATAGGACTTCTGTAAGATTGATTTAACTACCGGAATGTGATGATAACTTGACATGCTTGCACAGAGGGGATCCTGGTTTCCAGAGAACCAGGTTTCTCAAAACCTCCTCATTCATCAACAGTTACCAGCAGCGGGGTGCAGGCTATTTATTTAAATCCCCAGGAAATGGCCATGGTTTTTAGCATTTCTGTAACTAAGAAAATGCTCAGCTTCCTTCTGCTCACCTAATCCTGCTCCTTTTACAGCCATGGTTTCCCTTCTAAACCTGCTGGTACTAGCCAGTAGGTCAGCCCTAAGGACAATCAGCTTTCGCATGGCTTGGCTACATGTTATATACTTGGAATGTGATTTTAAAAGGGGAAAAAACACAAAGATTAATGTAATTGACAGGCAGACAGATTAAATACTAATATCCACATGATTATTTAAATTTCAGACCTTTACCAATATTTTATACTAAATAAAATGTTCTTACTACATGTTTAAAGTCTGTAAAGAACATGGAAGAAGATTAATAAAAGTACCAGATTACTGAAAATCCCACTACCTAGGGACCCAATGATTTTTTTTTTGTTCAATTTTTTTTCTTCCCCCCTCTCCCAGGGCAAAGCTTTCTGTTGTCAAGCCAGCTGTCCCTGCTTTTGAGCAATGTCAGTGCTACACTGTGATAAGCTTTTTTGTAGTGGTACTGAAATATTTATATATATCTGTGTAAATGTGGCACAAGTGGAGATAGGATTTCAGAAATTGCACAATAATTACAAGAGCAGCATGCAAATTAAAACAGATAAATTAAGCGAACCAATTAGTAATCCCTAGAAAGAGGAAAAGTAGGTTTTAATAGGGCATGATATCTACAAGAGAGCATGTCTTATTACTGAGATTGTATCTACACAAGTTCCTGCAGCAGTTTTAAAATGTTTCCTGACTTTCATTTTATACTGTATGTTCTGTAAAATGTATAGCTAACTGCAAT